CAATAAATATGATATAATATATGATACTAAAATGACAATGAAAATTCATGTTCATAGATTACCATTTCTCGTACTGTGAATACTAATGCTGTGCTTCCTAGATTAAAATTTGAATTAATTTTTACTGTTTGAACAATATATTACATATTATTTTAAATCTAGCCATTCATTGGTTAACAGCCATTACATGAAAATAATTGGTTCATTCCAAAAATATAACATCGGTACATTCCTTAAAAAGATGTTTTATGAAAGTATCTTTATGTGACATTGAAGATTCGATAGTTTCTGAATGTGTATAATTAATGAATATTTTCCTATATTTCTTTCGACAGAAGAGAATGAGCTTCAGGACAGGCGGCGCCGTGAACAGGAGGCGGAGAAGCGGAGAGCAGAAGTCAACTCTTATACTCAGCCCATTCGAATGAACCAATTGACCTGGGTGGAGGAGTCCGGACCTGAGCATCGCTACATAGCTGCCCCGGCCCAGCCTCTCCCCCCTCCCCCTCCCCCTCCCCCCACTATGCCCATCACAGTCATCCCTATCCCGGTGGTAGCCTCCACTCCTCCCGCCCTCCCTCCACCCCCCACCACATCTCTCAGCCCGTCGGCAGCACCCCACCTCACGCCACCCAGAAAAGATGCCCACTCGCTGCCACACCAGCAGGCACTGCACCAGCGCCCCCTCATCCCGTCTCAGGTGAAGACAGAAACCACATCACTGTCTCAGTTCAATAGCACCAAACTGGCCCAGCAGCACCAAACCTTCCCGGACTCCGTTATGGCGGCCTCCCAGCATGCACTTCTCCCCCAGCCTGGACCTTCTTCCGCACAACTCAGCCCGTCTGATGACCACCGCAGTTTGGATGGCAAGAAAAGACCTGGCGGGTGAGTGAGGGAGTGAAGCTGTCATTTATGACCATGTTGACCAGTGTTTAAGGCTGAATCACATGAGAACTTTATGGTGGGTTTTATGGCTGTGAGTTTGTATTATGTTTGGGAGCTAACTATTAAAGACGTGTATGACGTGTTTACAGGGCAGGGACGAGAGAGGTGCACAATAAGCTTGAAAAAAACAGGTAAGTTCGTCTTTGTTTGCTTTTGGTTTACCTCTATCAAATGACTTTCACCCAATGCTTTTCTACATTGAAGGTGATGGAAAGTGTACACTACCATTCAAATTTTTTGGGAGGGTAAGACTTTTAAATGCTTTTGAAGAAGTCTCTTGTGCTCAAGGCTGCATTTATTTAATCAAAAACACAGTAATGTTGTGAAATATTCTTCTAATTTTAAATGGGGCTGTCAAACGATTAATCGCATCCAAAATAAAAGTTTGTGTTTACATAATAAATGTGGGTGCACTGTATATAATTATTTTATATACAGTATATATATATATATATATATATATATACACACACATGCTTGTATATATTTAAGAAATATTTTCATGTATATACTGAATATAGATTTATATATATAATTTATATTATATATAAATATAAATATTTTATATATAAAATATATATTTTTCCTTAAATATAGATGCATGCGTGTGTATTTATATATATGAAGAGTTCAGATGCAAAAGCCTCTAAATGCCATTTGAAATTTTCTTCTTTAATGATGATTTTTATCAAACTTGTATATTTAAGTTCAGGAATTTCACTTAAATATCAATTAATAGGTAATTATCATTGCCATTTAAGTGAAATTATTGAACTTAAATATACAAGTTTGATAAAAATCATCATTAAAGAAGAAAATTTCAAATGGCATTTAGAGGCTTTTGCATCTGAACTCTTCATATATTTATATATATAAATAAAATAATTATACACAGTGCACCCACATTTATTATGTAAACACAAACTTTTATTTTGGATGCGATTAATCGTTTGACAGCCCTAATTTTTAACTGTTTTCTATTTTAAATAAGGTGATTTGGTTCTGAATATTATAATCAGTTGAAAACAGTTGCGCAGCTTAATATATTTATGGAAAGCGTGATTTTTTTTTTTTCAAGGATTTTTGATTAATAGAAAGTTTCAAAGAACAGTATTTATTTGAAGTAGTCCTTAAATGGAACTACTTTTCTTTTCACTTTTGATCAATTGAATGTGTCCTCGCTGAATTAACAAATACCTTTCTTTAAATAAACAAAATGAATATTTGAATGCTCATATAATTTGTGTGCCAAAAATAAAGATGTTTCAAACAAGTCTGCCATTGATTGATGTATACAAATAAATCAAAAACAGATTTTGCTATTGGCCTTTTGTAGTTATATAAAAATATTAAAATCATAAATAATACGTGAATGCTGACACTAGGAATAACCTTAGTCGATTATAACTCCTCTAATTCGAAATGATCTTCTTTTTTCAGACGTGCACACTTAAAGGAGTGTTTTGAGACTCTGAAGAAGAACATCCCTAATGTTGATGAAAAGAAGACCTCCAATCTGAGCGTTCTGAGAAGTGCTTTGAGATACATTCAGGTAAGTCCAACACTGTCTCTGTTGACAGATATTCACCGTCTGCTGTGCATCTGCATCTCTTGCCACGTCATCTGACCTTGACTTGAGGTGTATATTTACACATGTAAATATAGTTCAATGCTCGAGCAGAAGGGAGCACCACCCGATGAGGCGTTCTTGACTTTGTTAGTTGCAGTGTTTTTGTCTGAAGATTGAAAATGAGATATTTCCAGGGCTTCTTTAATTGATCTTAAGCTCGAGATTACATGGATTGCTTCTCTCCTGCTATGTGAGCAGAGCACCTTCCCTTAACCGCCGCTTCATTTGGTTCATATAAACCGTGATCATAAGCTTTGCTCTATCTGATTAAACCAGCGCCTCATTCACACATGTGCTCGCCTACAGGCACACCCTTTAGAAGAAGGAGAAATCCAATCAAATCAAAGGATTTGATTTAGCCGAGGCGCAAGGCGTGCAGGAAACTAGGGCAGTGTGGAAACAGAAGTCGTGTCACTGGATCCCCCTCCCTCTCTAAAGCCGACAGACCGACCAGACGAACCATTATCGCTTTCTGCTGCCTGTTGCTCAATCAGGCTTATGGTGTATTTATTTAAAGCACATGGCCTGTTGAAAACAACCAGCCATTTGCTAGGATTTCTGCAGGATGTGTTCAGTATTCTGGGAAGTGTTTTGAATATACGGTATATTGTATTTGGAAAATTCATATTTTGACATCTAGTTTGAAACAGTACTGGATAAAGAAGTAATAGGTACACTATATGTTATTTATAAAACAGTTAACTACATTGAAGCTGTTTTAGTCTAGATTTTAAATGTCCGGATCATAAATGTATTTTTAAACTACAAAGTCAATTGTAGTGACTACATCGTTTAAAATACATTTATGTATTTGTATCTGTATATGAATAAAACACATTTATTCAACTATATAGTCAAATGAAATATATGTGGTTTTACAACCTGAGAAATGTTTGTCTAGTACAGAACAGTGTTGAAACGCAAATTAATTTAAATGATAATTTGTTTAAAAAATATTATTAATTTAACTACTTGTTAAATTGGTTGTTTTATTATTCGTGACACTGAATAATTACTGTCTATGAATGTTTATCCTGGACAATAGGCGTGTGAGAAGTTCATGTCTATTTTTTAGCTAGTCAGTCATTGATATGAGCTGTTTCCCAGCCAGTATCTCACCGTCTCCCTTTCTGTTTTGTTCTGTGTTCCTGCTAAAAGATTAGTGTGTGTCTGCAGATCACGGGGCTTCTCTTTTAATGATTTGTGTTGTGTTTGTGTGTAAGTGTGTTTTGCTATGGTCTCTGGAGGTGGCAGTGGCACAGTGTGTGTCCAGGCTGGCCGCGGGCCATGGGCGGAGGCCCCACCCACTCTCCCCTCAGCGGCCAATCAGCTTCTCCTGGAACTTAGTAAAAGGATTGTTTGATGAGATTACTCTTTATTTTATTCATCTTCTTGGCACCTGATTCGTGCCCGATGTGTTTTTTTGACATTAATAGTGAAATAATTGATTGTCCCATCAATCACGGGACAAATTGCGTCAATCTGTGTTTAGGGCAGACGGTAAAATACCAGTGTTGTTATTGTGTTACTCAAAAGAATACACTTTAGAATCAATCCTCCGTTTATTAGATCACATTGCCTGTTACACCACCGCGGTGTCCGCTCAAAAAACAACAACCCCACACTTCCGGGAACTTCATAATAAGAGTCCCCCTTTTCCTTTAGTAAACAGTCATATGAAATCGTAAACAATATTCAGCACAGAGGTTCAATGTACATTAACACATTTTTTACTGACTTAAACTTAACAATTGTTCATTAAAATGGTAATAGTTTAAAATAAGGTCCCATCAGTTGACGTTAGATAATCCTTTAAAGCTATGGTATACGATGTTAAAAATCGGTCGAGACGGTAGGGAAGTTTTAAAAAACGCCCCTCCACACACACCCCCCTCCCCTCTGTGCTACCTGATCCCTGACGTATGTCACGTTTGAGTTCACGTCAACGCAAGATTAGCAACACATGAAATGTTCTAAACTCCCCACCACCATTATAATACTACTAGTATTGCTAAGGTTTTCAGTAATTGTTATTGCAGCATGCAGCGCATCTTGTTCAAATTCCGATCGGCTCGAACAGAAACCTCAAACAGGAAATATAATTACTTTGACTCATGATAAGCGATGCTAAACGGCTAACATTCCAATGCCGACCGGCAGCATGAGCAAGTTGTCAAACTGATAAAAAGCCACGTAACACGTCACAGCATAAAAGAATAAATAAATGTTTACCTGCTCAACAAAAAGTCATCCGTGTCAGCGTTGTTTTCAGCCCCAGATCTCCCTGAAGCTTTCTCCAATGGTCAATGAAGGACGCTATATTTATCCTACTTGGAGTCCGGCGTTCTTCACATTTCTTTTTAATCTCTGATCTTTCCTCCACAGACTTTCTCTTGCGTCCAAACTTTACAGTAGAGGCAAGCAGGGGCCGCTTGCTGTTGTCGTTTATATTTTTATCCATTGCTTTATCCATTGCTGATCTGATGCTACTAGCTAGCTACCATAGACAGTCTGTCAGCTGTTTGCTCACGCACGGAGGGGGGCGGGTGCGGTTGGGTTGGAGACGCGAGCGCCAGGCGGAGTTTCAAGTGGAGCTGGTGATTGGATGAGAGCAGTTGACCAATATAAGCTGTGCGGCCGTACAGCTTACATTGGTCAACTTTTCTGCGGCTGTACAGCCAATAGAGTAAATGGATTTTTTTCGTTCTTTTTTCTATTCATATTGTTAGGATTGTACTATATAACCATAACCAGCATCTAAACGAGGATATTAATAATAAACAATCTTTGAAATCGTATACCCTAGCTTTAACTAACAATGTGCAATACGATTGTTACTGTATTCATTAATCGTTGTTAATAAAAACACAACTGTGAATTGTTAATGTTAGCTCAGATCCTTTAAATAATATTAACAGATACTACTTTATATTTTAGTAATATGCTAGTAATTGTTAAAATTAAAATTGTAAATAATAATGTTTACAAATGGAACAATATTGCACTATAGGAGGAAAATATAAAAATAAAAGCTAAACTATATCCTTTAAATAATATTAACAAATACAACTTTAGTTTTTTGTAATAGTAAATGTTCCAATTAACTAGTATTTTTAAATGGTACCGTATCGCTCTAAAACTATTACAATTGTTTTTGGTAATTGAAATAGGGATTAAATAAAATATAAAATGTAAATATTACAATGAAAAATGGCGGGTGAAAAAAAGTTTGTTTCATTTCTCTGAAAATTTTCCGAGAAAATTGTTTGTCTTGGAAAGTCTTGAGGAAGTAGTCACTCGACAGTGATTTTGACTCATTCTCTCTATTGTTATTTTGCAATTTGCAGCTATATATTAATATTCCTTGCTAGACCAGTCTCATTTTATATCTCATAACGTAGTCCAGACAGGGAACAGATTATGGTGACTGTTTCTTTAAATGTTATCCTGCAGTCCTGATAAGTCTCAGGAGTTTCCCTGCCGTTCTCATTTAGCACAGAGCTCCTCCTCCATTTCTCCCTCCTTCTGTGCTTTTTCCTCCTTCCCCAGTCATGTTCCCTGCCACGGCCACATGAGTAGCGAGCACATGGCTAGACAGAGCCTTGTGACGTCACCCCTCCAGCCGCTGTTCCTGCCGCAGCACGGCACACTCGTAGAGCTCCATCTTAGTTTAGCCACATCCCTGAAACCCCCGCATTAGGTGCTGCCTTTTATTTAAGGAAACTTGCAGGACCTGTTTTTGCGAAGCAGGTTGCAGTGCATTGTGTTTCAGTGCTGACTGTGAGACTGATGTTTTGTTTTTCAACCTGATTATAATATTGACAAATTGTTTTGTTTTTTTAAACTTATTTATGCATGTTTGTGGTGGATTGGGAAGTCTACAAGGTCAGTTGTAAATATCAGTGTGCTTTATGACGCAGATTTATCTTTGCACCAACCTGTTTTACAGTCTATGGCGTCAACCCTGATGTGTCACGATCAGCAGGATTGTGATTAGACATATCATCAGGATGTGCAAAACCAGAAGGAATACACCTGATTCATTTCCTGCCTTTGTGTAGTAGTGTGAAAGCGAGGCCGATGTGGGTTAGTTGGTCATCTATTTCATGCTTTGCAGAAACTAGTGGCTTGTCCTTGTGGGCAGGATCACATGATTCCTAAAACGTATGCTGAAAGACTCATTTGTTTTTGTACAAGCCACTGCAATTCCAATGTAGCTGATTCAGCAAGTATTCTTTGGTAAATGTCAGCACCATCTGCAGATCATTTGCTTTAAATGGAAAATCCTGTCATCTTTTCATCCTCATGTCACTCAAATCTATTAGGACAAAAAGAGTTATTAGCTATTAGTTATTAGTTATTAACATAAAAAAGCTATTATTAGTATATTAGTTATTAACATGAAAAAGGTGCTCTTATTGACTATCTAGCTCAGTTGCGATTATAAAATGCCAACCTAATTCATATATCCTGTTTAAATTTAAAGATTGGCAAATATAGTTTTTTAATACACTGTTAATCAAAAGTTTGGGGTTGGAAAGAGTTTTTAATGTTTTAAGAAGTCTCTTATGCTCGCCAAGGCTGCATTTCTTTGATTAAAGATCATTTCTTTAATTTTTTCCCCATTTTCTTTAATGAATAGAAATCCTTTGTAATATAATAAATGTCTTTACTGTAAGTTTTGTTCAATTTCATGCTCCCTTTCTATATAAAGTGTTACTGACCTCAAACTTTTGAACTGTGTGTATTTGTATTTTTAATATAAATAATCAATAGTCTACATCAATAAAAACGTAATATAAATAATTAATCACTAGTTTGTTTGTTTTTTCGTGTGTTTAATCTACTCTAGGGAATTAGGTGAGCCAGGATCAATGTTCTTTTTAAAGATCTTTCTGACAACCTCCCAAGTGAAAAAAGAT